ATTTAATTAAACAACATAAGCCGAAGTGGTAACATTTTATTAAAACTAAAAGGTATTTGCTAATTTCAACAGATTTTTTTACATCTATATCTAAAATTCTCAAAATGTGTGTATGTTATGAGATCAGTTGTTTTTATACATTTCCAGTTCTCATCCAATTTTGATGAAATTTTTTTGTTTGATAGATAATTCTTCAGTACCGGTTTTGAGTACAAATAGTTGGCAACAATGGCTCTCCACTACTTCCTGTCCATTATAACTCTCAGCAATGTTTTACTATTTGTTCTTGGATATATATCTTTCATAAAAACTTTAATAGAAATAGTTTAAATTATTACAATATTATTTATTATTATACACTTTCCTTTTCAGGGCCACCCCCCACCCCCCCATTCAAATTGTTACACCCCTATTTGGGGGGATGTGCCTCATTTGCACCCAAATGTTGTTACTAATATTGATTTTCGGGTGGGCTGACTTTAAGCTTAAACTGCTCCAACTGAACGGTAAAAATTCCCAGTAATAAAAGACTCGGTCGAAGACACGTTATACTGCTAGTTAAGAATAAATCTAAGTTTGAGAACATTCTACCATATTCTATGGTGACATGTGGAGATCAAAAACTGTCAAAGAGAAAAAAAAATAATTTAAATAAATACCAAAAAATGCAAATACTAAATGGTAACTGATTTAAATAAAATTTATTTTTAATTTGGTTATTATTTCTTTTATCTTAATTTTATCACAATTCAGATCATCTTTGTTCGTCTGTTAAGAATCCTGAGTTATTAAAAATTTTAATTAAATAAAAAAAAAAAAGATTTAATTATATTTCCTAAGGCAGTGTTATGGGTTGGAGTTGTTGCAAGGCAAGCTAAACAAATTTGGATTTAAAATTTATTTCAAGAGTGCCAAAAATTTAATAAAAAAACAAATTTTTATTTAAAATTTATAATTTCTTGAGCTTAATTAATATTTACGATAATTAACTTTATTATCATTTAGGGTGAATTAACAATGAAAGGTCCAAATAAGCTAAAAAAATAATCATTAATTTGTTTACTAATATTTTTTCATTTGCTTTTTAATGCAATGATTCAGATCATTACTCGTCTGTTAGGAATTATTTGAGTTATATTTTTTAAGCTTTTTAATTAAATAAAAAGATTTAATTATATTTCCTATGGCAGTGTAATAGTTTTTACTTTTTTTTATTTGAGTATGATTCATTTTTAAAATTTTTGCTTATAAAATATAATTTAAAAAAAAATTGTTAATTAGGAAATTTAATTAAAAAAAGAAGATTAATAATGATAAACTAATGCTAATTGATTTGATAAAAAAAGGGTTGGGGTGGGCAGATGCTTTTTGTTTATTTCCTGCTTAGTAAGCGGGCGATAAATCATTCCTGCTTTCCAAAGCAGGTCCAGCAAATGGTTATCAACTCAACTTGGCATTCTTCTTCAAATTATCAGTTAATAAAGTTTAAAATGCCATTTGCACATTTTTCATCTCATCTTTCTCATAAACCTGCTTACCTTTTTCCTGAAACCAATTACTTGATTTCACAAATATACATTTTTTTTATTTGAGCATCATATTTTTTTGTCATTGTTTTCGAAATATAATTTAAATATTTTCGTTTAAAAAAAAAAAAAAAAGCGGTTAGTAAACGAACAATAAATTGCTCCTGCCCTTGCTTAAGTGATCCCAGTAAAAGATAGTCAAGCTGTTCCAATAGTTTAGAGATTAGGGTTAGAGTTGGGGGGTTGGTGGGGATCAACACCAAAATACCTATAGACAAAAAAACAGCTGTATTTTCATACTGACTGAAAGGATCAGTTTATTAACAATTGAAGTAAATAAAATAAAATCAGTCATGCAAAAAAAAAAAAATGACGGTTTATAAAACTTTGCTGAAAACATTTTCCCTCTAACCTGATGGATTTAAATTTAAAATGAAACTGAAACAGTAAAACTTTTTTTTAAAAAAAACTGTAAAATAAAAAAAAAATTCAATAATCAAATTTTAAATTTTCAGTGTGAATAAACCCGGATTTTACACCAAATAAGTTTTGCAAGACGAACAATTAAATTGAATATCAAATTTTTCTTACTAATTTGGGATTTTCTGAACATTTCTAATTCGTCGTTTTGAATGTGGCGGGAAATAATTAATTTAAATTAAAATAAATACAAACTTTATTCTCAATATCAAAGCAATATTTATAATTATTGCTTTTAACCACCCCAATGAGAAATATTGACTATGATGTACTCATCTGAAACAATTTAAGGTGGTTACAAACAGAAATTGTCCCGTTCCCTTGGATATTAACGCAGACATCAGGTCGTGCTCGACTGTGCCTTTGTTTAACGTGAAAGTGCTATAAGGGATAAAAAATATAAAATTACGATTTTAAAAGGAAATCAAACATGCCTAAATGAATCTTTCAAATAATTAATGTTTATTTTTTTGAAAATAATGAAAAAACAAAAAGGGGCACTTGAATAATTTTCAAAAGTACAAAAAAATAAAACTATGAAAAATTGATTAAAATTGCATTTTGTTTTTTTTATCGTCTAGAAACTTGGTTCATGGTATTCGTTTGGCAAAAATCAAACCCATTCGGCTTTTTACCCCTTCACTTAAACGGTCAGTCTTGTATATCCTTTTTGTAAGTTTCGCGCTCTATAAACTTGTCCACTTTTTGCCGCTTTCCGCAAAAAGTTAAATGTTTGGAGTCCAAAATTTCCTTAATTCAGTTATTTAAGTTAATGTTTGTTTTTTAGTCTATTTCGTATTTGCCCCAAGCCTGATGGTCACGGTTTCATGAATAAACGTTAGTTTTTGGTGGGAAAAACGGCCTCTCCTCCCTAAAGAAGAAAAGTTTTAATTATCTGAATTTTACTTCTTTTTTTTAACCTGAATTATGGGGCTAATGTAGTTTTAATTATTATTGTATGAATTGTTTTAATTACTGTCACAGCTTGTTAATCATATCCCCCTAAGGAAGGTGAACGCGTCCTTGAGGGTAATGAGCAAAAAGGAAAACAAGATGGGGTGTGAGCACAGAAAACCAAATTTTAACCCCTCACATTTGAATAGCCTTGTGCCAGATCCCAAAACAAAAACTTAGCACTACACAGACTGATCCACTGAAAGATCAATTGAACACTGTATCCATATTATAAACTGAACCCCCACCCCTAAGTTGATAACAAATCAATGTTCTTTTGTTCTGACAAGAGTCGTTAAGGAAGGTAGCTGCGTATATATATATATATATATATATATATAGTGTAACCCGGATATAAGAGAGTTGTCGGGACCGGAGAAGTCGTTTCTTATATCCGGGTTTGGTCTATTTTGTTTAGGTAACACAGGCTCTAATTTGGGAACAGAAAATCTCTTATATCCGGGTTACACTGTGTATGTGTAATCATTTATTTTAAAAATTTAAAACAAAAACGGTTTTAATCTAAAGCTCTGTATTTAGTGACTAAATTTTAGCCTTTTTTAAAAAATTAAATGCTAGACAATAGAAAAAAAAAATAACACGTACATCACTTTGCTTTCTCGCCGTGTCAAGATCATATCAAATTTAAAATGCATATTTCCCTTTTGCCTATCCAGGACTGAAATGTTTCGCACCCACCAGTTGCGTTACTGAGCCACTGGGTGGGGCTGGAGCTATTCGTCAAGAAAAATAAATAAAATAAAAACCAACCTAAGCTGAGGAGATGGCTGGTGATTTTTGCAGATTCATAACATTGGGATTTTTATTATTTTTTTCTTGAATTCGCATTAATTTGAATACTTTTATTGATTTAAGAAAAGAATTTATTTATTTCCACAAGTAGAAACTCAGGAAACAAATATTCGGGTTTAAATTTAAATACAAGTAAAATTTACACCGCGGGAAAATGTATAGTAACCGTTAAGTTTTTTTGGTGGGAAGAAAACAATTAAGGATTTAAAAGGAATTTCAAAAAAAAAAAAAAAAGTTTACATATGAAGTAAGTTACGAATTAAATGCTGAACTAATTGGGCCTCTCCCAATAAGTGCATTTTGGGGACAGACTTGGAGAGTAAAAGCACATAGGGACGAGGTCAAAAGGTTAACAGACTAGCGAGAAAAAAAAAATCATTTCAAAATTTGCATCTCTTAGAAATTTCTTTTTCAAAAAATAAAAAATAAAATGAAAAAAAATAAAAAAATTCTAAATTGTGATTATCAAGAATCTTTTGGAAATAACTTACCTTTTTCAGGGAGATGGTTATTAACAATGGATACAGCAGACACTGGAACCGATTTTTTTGGGGAAGCAATTCCAAAGGTTGACATCATCGAGACATTTAATAAACGTTTCCTTTTAGCCAGAACAGATTATCGAATTTTTTTTTTTGAGGGAATAATTTTAAATTGTTTAAAACCTTTTAAACAATTGTCGAACAAAGTGGAAAGGAAATCCGATAAAAAGTTCATTGGCTTTAGTCTTTTTTTCTGTATTCTTATTAAAAAAAAAAAAAAAAAAATTAAAGTGAAAGATTCAGTTTTAGGCTATTTGAGAATTGAGGTCTTGTTTCGGCCGAAAACTGATTCTACATTTCAATAAAAATACAGAATAAAAAGAAATTCATAAAAACAAATAGAAAATCGAACGATGTGTCAAGTGAATGAAACAAAAAAAAAAAAAAGGCAACTTGACATCTCGCCAATTTCAGAAAACAAAACAACGAAAAGTTAAATTCTTTTTTAAATTTTATATAATGAAAACATGAAAGGATTATTTACAGATTTTTGTTAATAGAACAGAAAAAAAGAAATCAACAATCGGATGATCATGATCATTTAAATGAGATTTTTCAATAAAAAGTTCGAGTGTCACTTTGATAGATAAAAGTTAGTCCCATAAATGAACCCTGTACAAATATTTACAATTTTTTTTTTTTTCGATTAAAATAAATTAGTCCATTTCAGAATTTTGCTTTTTCTTCACTTCTTTGACTTTTTGGCGGCTTTCGATTTTGATGCAGATTTTTTAGCAGCGGCGGGTTTTTTCTTCTGCGGAGACTTCTTGGGCTTCTTAGTGGCGGGTTTGACTGCTTTAGGCTTTCTGGCTTTCTTAGCGGCCTTTGTTTTGGAAGGCTTTTTCGAAGGCTTCTGTTTAGCGGAGGTTTTCTTGACAGGCTTCTTCTTAGCTTTAGCTTTTTCTTTACCTTTCCCTTTCGCTTTCTTTTCACCTTCTCCTACTTTGAAAGAACCTGAAGCACCGACTCCTTTAATTTGTTTAAGTTTACCACTCTCGACTCCTCTCTTGAGGGCGAGCTTCAGTTGAGTGCCGGATGTGGAGTTAATTGTGATTTTGTAGCGTGATGCCAGAAACTTTTGAATGGCCTGACGAGAAGAACCACCTCTTTCATTCAAACTTGTGATGGCATCTTGGATCATCTGACCATAAGGTGGATGAGAAGAAGGTTTCTTGGGTTTGCTTGCCTTTTTGGTCTTGGCGGGAGCCGGTGCAGCAGCAGCAGTTTCGGTATCAGCCATATCGTCGTAATAAAGTTTGGTAAATATCAGCAACGTGTAGAGAAGCGATCAGTGTGCCGTTCACGTCAGCAATGCTGGTGGGTGCCTGCCACTTCTTTATTTATAGACAAAGCGCGGACGTAGTTGTAGGCACACAACACAAACGACGCTGAGACAACAAAATGGCAGCTGTTCAACGACAGATGTGTTTCTTCGTGACATGTTCCCCGTTGATTAAGGTGATGTCCATAAGAGAAACACATTCTTCCACCATTCCATATCAATCCCAAGACATTAATCTACAATCCTCAAAAGAAATTATTCTTCTAACTACTTTCTCTCGTTTGTTATTTCAAACAATATGACGTGTTGTCGATTCATCGAAATCGGGGTAGGCTTCATTCAAAGTTGAAAATCACGAAATCCGTTTCATGCATTCGTATTTTGTCGTTACCAACTGAAAAAATAATCATATGGCAACCATCTGGAGAAAAATCATCATCTGACACCTTCATATATGACAGTTATGATGGCTCTGATTACCATAACAAACACAATTTCTTTTTCAGCTCCGCCATTTTTCTCACTCCCAGTTTTAACCAAAAGAAAATATATTCTTAAAAATTCTTTTAAAAATTCCTTCGACCGTTTCTTGCTCATGTAACTATTTGTAGATCATTAATTTTTTATAAGATAAAGTTAATAAACAAAATTTTAGATTGAGTTATATTTTAAAAAACTCTCTTAATTCAAATCTATTATTGCCACTGTGTTGGCCCAGTTCGGAGTTTGCATCTCTACATCAAGATACAACGAACCAGATTCATTTGTCCGAATTGAATGCATTTTGAATTAGTTTTATTTAGAAAAACACTTTTTACCTGTTATCAATTTAATTGAGGAAATTTAAATTAATTCTAAGCTTTTAAAATCCACCAAACTATGTCTTATTTATTCTTATTGTACCACAGAGGAAAACAATATGAGTGAAATGAAAAGGCCTTGTCGGTTTCATTAAATCAACAACGATTATTTTCTGTAATATTACCAAATTTATTTTACCTTTTATTATCAAGTTTCTTGTTATATTTATTTATTATTAATGATCCTTAAAAAAGATTCAATTTCTATCTTTTATTAATCTTTTAAACATCTGCATCTTGAAACGTAAAAAATACGCCTTTTTATTTTAAACATGAAAACAATTAGAAACGAACGGAAAGTAATCATTTGTGAAAATACCGCGACAAATAACGAGCAATTTTATTTAATTCTTTTTAAAAAAAGAAAAGAATATTCACAAATTAAAAACAAATAATTTATAAGAAAATACAGATTTTTATAACTTTTGATGTCCTTTTTATTTCATGAAGCAATTCTGTGTTAAAATTTTTAAAAAATCTTATTGAATTCTATTCAATTATTCAACATTATTTACGATTGTCCCTTTTTTTTTATTGACGTGTATTTTCCGAATTGCTTTTGATTTGGAAAAGTGGAAAAATATTTTAAAATTATTTATCACGATTCCTCTTGTATTTCTTTTTAATGTTGAAGATTCAATTTAATTTCTGTCTCTTTTTAAACATCTACATCTGAAAACGAAGAAAAATGCGCTTTTTATTTTGAAATCGAGACGAAAAGAAAAATAATCGTTTGTTAATATAACGATTTTCTTTTACTTATTTAAAAAGCAGAAAAAATAACCCGAAATTCAAAACAATTGTAAATGTATGAGAAAAGAAAAACGTTTTGTTTTGTTTTTTTATAACTTTAAAGTTTTATGATGTGTTTCATGAATTGAAGCAATTATTATGCTAAAAAAATATTTATTTTTAATTTTATCGTCCTTTTTAAAGTGCCATTTTTTTTTAGTTTTTATTCGGGAAACTGGAGAAAAACAATTTTAATTATTTACTTAAAAACGGGAATAATAATAAAACATACTTTTGCTATAAAGAAAAAAAAACTGCTTATTCTTGTAAAATTTGCTTATTTTGGCCGTAAAAACTGAAGTCGTTAAAATTCGATCCCGCCAAAATATTAAACATTTATTTATTGTTAAAAAAAAATTATTATTGTGATAATCATTAATAAAAAATTTATTACTGTAATAATAATCATTAATTAAAAATAAATTATTATTGTAATAATTAAATTATTGTAATAAAAGTATTATTGTAAATTTCTTAACATTTTTTGCATCAGAAATTAAGAATTTTTAAATGTGACGGTATCTTTTTTTTCTTTTTCCAGGACAGAATTTAATTTACATTTTTAATTTTGAATTATCCATTATTTTTATTGAGCTTTTTGTCTAAGACACTGAGGATCGAACTCATTTTTTTAGCAACTTTGCACTGACGACGTGTTTAGTTTTTTACTCTCACGATATGGTAGGCGCCTTTACACTTACATAAGTCACACAATGACACACCAGTGAGGATAAATTTCTCTATCTCAGTTTGTTTCTATCTATCTATCTATATCTATCTATCTATCAATCACACACTCATTCACTCTGTTCATATTCTTGAATTTCTTTTTTTGCATAAGGTTCCAGGCTCACAAAAATAAAAATCAACTGAAGCAATGTTGCGTTGTCAATTAATTTATTCAAATTAATATTGCAATAATCAAAGATTTTATTGAGCTTTTTGTCTAAGGCACTGAGGATCGAACTCACTTTTAGTTTAGCAACTTTGCACTGACAGGCGTGTTTACTATCTCGCTATAGCAGGTGCTTTCAAGTCACACAATGACACTAGTGAGGTTAAGTTAAGCAATGATGCATGTATTATTTATTCTCTATGCTGATGGGTAACCAATGAAATAAACTAAACAGTAGATTCAGTTAGTCAGTTAAAAAAATGCCATACGTGATACACGCTTGAGTGATCATGTTTCTTTCGATTCATGACTGACTTAGCAGAAGATTTTCCCACAGTAGGTTGCCATTTCTTTGTGATAGACTGGTTGCCAACCAAAGCTACAGGAACCGGTCAGTCCTGCTATTTCAATCCATAGCTTAGAGGAGAATAAATGGATTCATACCTTTCCCGAGTGTATTTGCCTATAATTGAATATAATGAACCTTACTGGAATTCGAACTCTGCACAACGATATTGGATTAAGGTTGCTAACTAATCATTCAAAATCTGTTTCTTACTTCGGTTGGTTGGTAGAAGTTCCTAATCCCGGAAATGGGAATCTCTGAACCTCCTCTCTTGTCTTACTAAAAACCAACTCAGACTGCTACTACCAACAAAAATAAAAAAAGATGGATTTTTTTTTTTGTTTTTTGTTTTTTTAATGGTGAAGAAGACAGACACATGCATAACGACTTTACACACAAAACATAAACAACGCGCGTGCGCACCTCTCTCTCTCTCTCTCTCTCTCTCTCTCTCATATTAAGGTTTCTCCCTGGGTGATTCTCTTAATTTCTTAAATGATAGCAACATATTAGCCCTCACCCCACCTCTTTACCAACCACGCAATTCAAACAGAAAGCAAACACGTCCCGACTGTTCATTCCGCCATCATCAAGCAGGTTGGCATCAAAAGAGAGATACAATGTGCCATAAAAAAAGTGATTACTTAAAATTAGATGTGCAGAACGAATTCTTGCATTTAATTAAAGACAAGTCAAAGAATTGAGTAAAAAAAGACATGTAAACGGTCCGAAACAAATATAATTTATTTTAGATCGTATTTAAATTTTTTATAAACATTATGAAAAAAATTGTTTATTCTATCAACATTAATAAAGTATAAATCTCTTTTTTTTTTTTTTTTTTTTTTTTTTTAAGTTTGATAATGAAATTTACTTTGAAACTGAATATCGTGAATGAAGTTAAGCAAGATCATCAGCTGGTATATTTTATGTGCCATGCTTGATACACGCTTAGGCGATCATGTATCTTTCGATATGTGATGACCGACAAGGCAGATTTTCCTTGCAGTAAGTTGACATTTCTTTCTGCAGTAGCCATCCAAGGCTACAGAACCTGGTCTGTCTTGCTATTTACCCATAGCTGGGTGGGGGGAGAAGAAGAGGGTTCATATCTTTCCCATGGATATTAGCACGTAAGTGAATGTAATGGATTCGACTGGAATTCAATTTGTTCTCAGTCAAAACACTCCGCAGATATATAGTGATCATAATTTATCTTTCAATTTGTTGAAAGTAGATTCTTATCTTTATTCGTGTTGAAGGTTTTAAAACTAAAATCTCTTGTTTGTTGGAGATCTTTTTTCTAAATTTAGGAATTTTCCTTAAGTCCAACTTTCTTTCCCTATAAAATGGTAGAAGTCTAAGAAAGAAGCTGTGTAACGTTATTGAAAGTTCACAATTGTTTCATTGATTTGCTAATTTCATGTGTTTGTGTTTCTTAAGAAGAACAAAAAGGACAAATTCTGTACCTTGTCCCAAAAGGTTGGTTGAATTAACATTTGTGACCATTTCGACCAGTTTATATATATATATATATATATATATATATATATATATATATATATATATGTAAGATAACTCAAAGACTTTATCAGAAGCTCTGGTAAGTCATGTTTACCAAAGTCTGGGCCAAAGGCCAAAGAATGTAGAAGTTATTTATTGGCAAATACCTCAAACAAAACTTCTTATTTATCATCATCAACAACAACAACAGCAATGACAATAGTGATGATGATGATGTTGAAATGTGTCGATGAATCTCAAAGACTAGATCTTGTCATCACAAACAAAGAAGTTCTTTGAACATTGCTTTTCTCGTTTGTTATTTATTGGAATAAAAAAAAAAGTGAAAATCTGGAAAAATATCTAAACTTTCTTTGACAACTGAAAAATTGAGGGAAACTGATTTTTTCTTTCATCATTACATTACCTATGTGAAAAAGGTGACAAAATCCGAAAAATTGAAACCACGGCGGTATCACTAAAATAAAATATTTATGAGGGATGGATTCCACCAGGTCTAGTTTGTTCAAGACATGCTACACATGAATGAATACCCACCAAG